GGAGATGTTGGGGAGGAATTCGATGATGAAGAAGCTCAATCTCTAACAAGGGGGCAGTCTGGTGGGGATTTCAGTTTAGTCAAGCAAGAGAGGAATAATGGAAATGCCGGTGTCTCTGATCACGAAGAGGACACGGAAGAGGATAAGAGGGAGTAAAATATCCCAGTCCAACATGATTTTAGTCATCATCCTTGTTTTGCAGTGTTGAAAACACCTTGACCGAGCCTGTTTATGGATAAAATATAACTCGGAGCAACGATTCTTCGAATCAACTTGCAAAAGGGAACCAATCTTGTTGCAGAAGGTTGATCTTTGCTTACATTAGATTTGTTTATCATTTGTCCATATTAATTTTGATTACATGATATAGGGGAATAGACAATTTGCATGCGATTTCTATGATGGGAAACCTTACGGTTTTGATATGCTTCTGATGGTTCCACGAATGAATTTATGTCTTTTGGTTTACCTTTTAATAATTAAAACTTCCATGTAACCTTATAATGCAATTCAAAGGTTGTGTTCTTTTGCCATTATATTACGCTTGTGAGCAATGATAGCACTCTTAAAAAATTTAAATTCTCATATAATTCAAGTATTTTTTATATTTTTTATTGATGATATAATTTCACACTCTGAAATTTTATAATTTCACATTTCACACCATTTAGATAAAATTATGTGTCGATTTTTATTTGAGAGATGAGATTTTGGAGCTTGAAATTTGTAGCATGAATTCTTCGAAGTATAATCTCGACTCGATTGTTTAAGTAGAGGTGTGGTCCGAGCGCAATTTATTGAAATACTATTTCAGATCGACTATCCTCAAACGATATAAAAAAAACTTCTCGGCCTACTAAGATGTAATATTTAAAATTTTCTGTTATAAAAAAGGGGGGAAACTAAATTATGGTGTGATTCTCAAAATATATTTATCTAACAACCCAATTCAAACATTTTATTACTTGATGATAAATTGAGTTCTTTTGTTGAACTAGTGTTTCTTTTTCTAGTAAAATTGTTTTCAACTACTCTAAAATATTTAAATTATTATTATTTTTCTTATTAAATTACACCAACTGTTGATTTTAATTAGCAATTCACCTCAAAAAGTGTATTACTCTGTGTGTGTAACATCAATTATTCAGTTTGTCCATATAAATCGAACATTCCAATTATTTTTAGTACAAAACATTGAACGATTTTACCTTTTTCTCCTTTTTAGTACAAAATATTCCTCTTACTAGGAATCAATTATTATATATTCTTTAAAAAAACAATTATTATATATTAAATTGAATGATAAAAATAATATCTTTTAAATAAGATTTTTAAATTTAAATATTTTTTAAAAGCTTTAGATTTAAACTCACATGCATATAGAAGTTATATTACTGGAATTCGGACAAAAAATAAAATTTTCTTTAATTACTAAAACTATTATGAGGGTTTTAAATTTAAATATTATAAATAAAAATGAAAACTCTAAAAATATTTTTTTAATTAATCATTAATATATAATCTATTGATCGGCTAATTTAGATTGAGTACTAATAGAGGCAAGGATAATTCTTGCAATCCAGTTTGCTCTATTTACAAACACCAAGGTTTGAACATTCAAACGTACTTAAAGAATCTAGTGTTTCATCTCACTAGACCAACTAATTGTTGGTTTAAAAGAGTTGTTTTTTAATTATAGATTTAATTGTTGTCCAACTTGACTTTTGGGGGAGCAAAATGTAATTTAAAACATCTTCAATTAAGTACCCACAAACAAAACAAGTTTTTTAGAAGAAAAAAAACATTTCTTTCAAATTTTAATTTCTTTAACCTTTTTGAATTGATAGGATTGTGAAATGAATACATTTTGATTGATTTCTGGAACTGAAGCAGTAATCAGAGGCCCAAAGACCAGAGCGAAACCAAATTGCTTAATTTCAATAATATTATGTCAATGGCTAGCAATATCGGGGGAAGTGAAGAGCAATTGCAGAAGATGGAGGAATTAAGCAAAATCCTAAAAGGAGAGAGAATTCTGGCGCCTACTCGAAGACCCGACGGCACTCTCCGCAAGCCCATTCGTATTCGGGCCGGGTATGTTCCCCAAGAGGAAGTCGCCATTTACCAGTCTAAAGGTGCCCTGGTATGTTTAAAGTTTATGTATGTAATGTATGCATTCGCGTGCGTCTAAGTTTCTTCTGTTGACTTGTTTTAGTGATTAGAATTTGAGGAAGAGAAAAGTGATGGCGTCAATTTTGTAAGTTTTGATGTGTATGTCTTGTTTGTGTTTATGTATGTATGGAAGATACATGATGTTTGATGCTTGGTGTATGTGGGAATTTTTTGCCCATGTTGAGTTTTGGAGCTAAAAGTTTCATGTTAAAGTACTTAATTTTCTATAATGGGTCATTAAATGAGATTATACATTGCTACATTCCATCAACAATGTGACTGCCATTCAACTAAAATTCGGTCGAGACTTTGTTCTTTGGAGTTACTGGATTCAAAGTTTTATTTCATGGAAATATCTCCTGCAAATTGTTGTAGTTTTTGTTTTTATATGTTTATTTTTCATAGAATTTGATGACATTAATCTTTGTTAATTGATGATGCAGTGGAAAAAGGAGATGGCAGCATCACAAGTAGTGCCTCCAGGTTATGATCCACCTGCAGATGCAAAACCGAAGACTAAGTCAGCAAAGAGAAATGAACGAAAGAAGGAGAAACGGCTACAAGTATGAAGCTTGTTGCTGTGATCTTTCGCGAACCTCTATTTAATGGTTTTTTGCAATTTTGGCTTATTGCATTTTCTTGCTTGGTTCATTAAACTCTCATAAGAGAAAATTTTCAGTTCTTTTCCTTTCTGTGAAACTTCAATTGGCCTAGATTTGCATGTTAGCATTATGTTTATCACAAAATTCTGTATCCCTTGCCATTTTCACCTATGCTCGAGTCATGGCTCATTTCAAACCTCCAAATAGATGGTTATTTTCTTTTCTTGCTTAGTTTGTGCACCATAGCGGAGGGGCTGTGTTTAGTGAGTCTAGACATTAGGCAAGAATATCTGTGCATTAACACTTAGCATTTCATTTACCAATTTATTTATGGCAGGCTGCTCTCTAAAAGGGAAAGAACTCAGAAGCCATGGCAGATGACAAGATTGAAAGAGAGGATGTACCTAAGGAGGATTTAGATGATGGATCAGAGTCTGTTACATCATTGACATCTCAGATGACTAATCTTGCTTTTTCCCCGAATCATGTATCAATCTCTCCTCCCTCAAACTAAGTGGAGGCCTCAGATGATGGACAACCAGTTCTAGATCCCAATAAAAAGATTCTAGCACTTAAAAAGAAGGTATGGCCTATTACACTTAACATGTAAAAGAATTTGTCCAGTATTATTGTACATCGTAGCAAACTCTTGAAGTTAGAAAAGTTTACTTTGTCATATCAACGTAATTCGTCCCTTAAGTTCAAGAGACAGAAGACTCATGACATTGACTGATGGGAGGAGAACAAATTGGAAATTGCTTTTTGAGGTTTAAAATACATAAAGAGAACGGGAAAAGGAAGAAAAATATGCATCATATTTCCACTGTTTCAAATTAATAAAATGTTTCTTTTCTGTTTACTAAATTGACCTCATATGCATTACGTAGAGGATCTTTGTGCATATGGTGCAGAAGTCTGAAAAAAGTTCTGAAAGGAAGTATAAAATGAGAATTAGTCCATGCTGCTTTATTTATGTAATGCCTGCGTAAGTTTCTTCAAATGACAATTATAGTTTGTACTCCCTTTCGCTCCTTGTGGGTATAATGATCGTCACTGCTATCAATTTACTTTTGGGTGCAAAACCCCTTGTTCTCTTGCTATGGGTCTCCATATTCGAATTAATCTGAACTCCTGCTCTTCCTTTCCTTTTCGAATCAGTTGCACTCCTTGAAGAGGCTCTGAATAAGATTCTGGTTTTTGTGCAACGATGTATGGGTGTTTGCACCGATCTGAAGAGGCTTGTTTGCTGAAATTATACACAATGATTAGTTTGACAACTGGTTCTTTGATATATGCATTGTTTATGCAAGTTTCTACTTTATATTGCTCCTAAACATGTTTGATGACTTTCAGTGACTTTAGCATGCAATTACTTATTTATTTCTGTACTGGAATTGTACTGGGACACTACAAGTTGTTCGCATTTGTGTCCCTCCCGTTACATGGGATGCAGCATGGGGCTTTTATGCTTTTTAGGGGAGAACTTGTTCTAAATCCGACCTGTTTTCAATAACTAAAACTCAATTTTCATGTTTTTTATTTAACCTGAATATTGGTTTTCATATGTAGATTCGACTAGCAGAAGCACAACAACAGAAAACACCACAGCAAGATATGAAGCCAGAACAGCTGGAAAAGTTGGCTAAACTGGAAGGTTGGCGTGAGGAGCTAATGCTTTTGGAGGGTGAAAAGGCCGAGTTGACACCATTTTGAGTTTGTGTTTTCATCGCTGATGAAGCCATGTGGTTCATTTACAATTTAATGGGATGCAAAAACTTCATTTTGGAGCAGAGGTTAATCCATCAAGGTTTCATTTTAAAAGATGCATGTGAATTTGCATTTCATGCACATGACCACGTTTGATCAGTACTCTTTGTTTCCCTGATTTGATACCGATACAGTTCCTCTTCAGCTTTAGTAGTTTTATCAGCTTAATTTGCTTATCATTCCATGAGGAAGAAAATGACCACACCATTGCCTTGTGCTTTGGCAAAAGTTTGCTGAGGGATCTTTCATCGACATTTCGAATACCCCACAAATTCCGGAACCCTTCCTCTTTGTAAAAGCAACATCCTTGCAGGCCGTAACATGACTAGCATACCATCTGCAAAGGATACTTGGAAACCGGATGTTTACTTCAATGTTTGTATTTATTAAACGCTGCAATCCCAAATCAACCATAACATGGATAAGATTTGAAGAAAAGAGGGTGGAAGGGTCAGAAGATTTTACAGAGAGAGGAACTTCGAATAAAATATATTAAAAGATATCAAAATTTAGTGCAACAGTTGCAGTTTAAAACCAGTCAAATCATAACCTGAGATTGAGACAAAACTAAGAAATAATCTACACCAATGCCGCTGCATTTTACCTTGTGATAGCACGTCTACCATAACAACCAAGATGGCATCCAAGACATGAAATTTGAATGATTAAACCCCTTTTAATGCGATCGTATTCAATCTGGAAAAATTGGTCTAGGCGCATTCAACGTCAGATTCTTCTGGTCCTTCCATGTAAAGTTCAAAGTCCTCAGGACTCCATCTGCATATCAAATTCATTCGGAAAGTAGCCATTTTGATACCCAACAAGCGCTGCAAATAAAACATCACCAAAATTTTGAGTACCAGTAGACAAAACCATCATCAAATGATTGCAACTAACAGCAAATGACCGACTAATACTAATCAAATATTTCCTTCATTGACAATATTAAGTTATGACTGGGAAGATGAAGGTATGAAGAATGAACAGACCAGTATCCGAGCAGACTCGGGTGACAAAGGCTTTCCATCCTCACAAACAACAAAGTTTGAAACAAGTTCCACAACACCTGTACACCGAAGATCAAGTTAGTATGCAAATTCAATCGAAATAGATAACATCCGTGTATGATGGGAAGAAAAATAAGAGACGAATAAACAACCTTTGTTCAACCGAACGGGCATGCCTTGCTTGCGCAGAAAGGGTTCCATCTCATGTGTGAACTGATCTAAAGGACCTTCCGGAAGTTCCACCTGGAAATGGCAGAGAGCAAGTGCAAACCCAAAAGTCAGTAATCAAGTATAAAAGATGCCATGAAGAATATTAAGAGCTCGTCTGCCCCCCCCCCCACCTTTTCGGTTGCAATGCTTCCTGTTCTTGCAAAGTCATTTTCTTCAAATTTATTAAACAAGCTGCAAAACAATGGGAAATAAGGAAACCATAGAACACAAAGAAGAGAAGCTCAATTCGAACAGTACCAACCTTAACAATGCAATATATAAGAAGAGAAGCTCAATTCGAACAGTAACAACCTTATACAAGCTGCAAAACATGGTTACCTTTCAACTTCTTCTCTTGGCATGTTGGTAAGAAAAAGCCCAGCATCCCCACGCAGAAGCTTCAAAACAATTGATAATTATAATAAAGAAAAGCAACAAAAAATATAAAAAACAACAATGCAATATATATATATATATACACACACACACATAAATATAAGTTACTGGAATATACCTTAGAGACTTTGTAAAGACCAGGTCTAATCTCATCAGAAGCAGAACGGCCTAATGCAACTTGCATAACTTTATTCGAACCAAGGAAAAATCTGAAGTAAAACCAACAAAAACTTAAACAAAATGATCAACAACAAAAGGGGGAAATGGGCTATTGAATTCGAAATTTTTACCTGCTGGTGAACTTGAGCTGCTCTCTAAACTCCTTGAATTTAAGATTCCTCATGTTTTCAAAAGAGAAAACATAGATAGAATTGTAACTTTCCGCAGCTTCCCTTATGGAATTCACAATCGATTCTTTATGTTCCTTGCCCTTCTTCTTTGTCTTTGATAGTGAAACTGAAAAGACCATGACATTCAAACACTTTCAAAACATTATGACAAAAAAAGATTATGTTTTCAATGATGAAAGATTTTTTTTAAAAAAAGAAGGCAAACCTATTTTGTTACGCTTAGACTTTGGCATCTTCGACGATTATAGTTGCCTGAAGAAAAAGAAATCAAGAGATGACTGATTTGCTCTGCTTATGCAACTCCTAAACCCCTTTCCCTATGTTCCTTTGGTCGTAGATTTTTAGGGTTTTGAGCATTTAAAAACGGCCGTCTTCTTCTTGTGATGTTAGATTTGGGTCGGGTGGACGAGCTCGGGTTATTGAATCTTAGTATCTTACCATCTCAGCCCAAATCCTTTGGATTTTTTAATTGATGTCGAAACCTATATCTATAGGACACAAATTATTTTATCATTATTATTTAATTAATAATAATTACTAGTTTAATTGAAAGGGTAGAAATATGATAAATTTAAATAAATTTTATAAAATCAGATCAAATTAATTGTATAAATTGTTTATTTCTTTTAAATTATCAAGGTGTATAAAATAACCTTTAAAAAGTAAAATAGGTCCTTAAAATCATATAAGGAAATGATTAATAAAATAATCAAACAATTCGAAAAATTATAAATACAAATAAATATCATTGTCAGTGACACATGATAAATACTATCGAAACTAACATAAAAATGTACATAATAATAATAATAGCATATAGATAATTCAACTTTCTCATAACTTAGAAATGACTTATTTTTAGTTATTATAAATTCTGGTTAATATAACAGAAATAATGTGAGAGTCGATGTTAGAATATAATAGTAAAATGATTAAATAAATACTAATTAATACAATAGAATAATTATGTAATACAACAACGAAAGAGTTGTAATAAAACATGGATGATAGCTGTTTGACCAAAGATTATAATATCACCCTCTTAGATAACCAAAGAGAAGAAATTGAGATGAATGAAAAACAAAAGTGTTTTATTATTTTAAATATTTTATAATATTAAATTAATTGATTTAACATGAAAAAATATCATCGTTTTTTAAATGATGAAATTAGATTAGGCTAAGGTGAAAAGTTATTGATCTAACCAAAGATAATATTTATATTATATATATTTAAAGATAATTATAATAATTTTTTATTATATTTTTATTTTTAACTGATATATAAATATATCAATTCAAGCATGAATTTTACTCTGAAAATCGAATCAAATTTTAAATTAAATAAATCTCTCTAAATTTAAATTGAATTAGATAAAAAAAATATAATACTTGAATTAAATTTGAATCCATAAAAAATGGGATCTCCCGTATGACCATCTCTAGTTGTATAGATATGTAAGTGACCGACTCTTCAAAATGTCATCATCACTCATCTAGCAAAGTTTCAGTGGAGCGTGCCTTTCAGACGCTATGTTGTTCTCAAATCCACCGCGTATTTATGTTTAGACGAGGCCGTGAATCGCACTACCATTTCCACGTCGCGTGAAGTGCCTTCCCACAAGAAAATACCCAATTAACCGAATATTCTAAATTTCGAATTCGTCTAGTCATTTGTTCGCTACAAAGCTTTTGGCATTGGCTCTTACTATTTACAACTTTTTTTCAATCCCTCGGTTTCGTGGCCTAACAAAACCCTAAATTTCTCTACCCCCAATTCAATCCTCTTCTCCCCGGTATGCCCTTTCCTGGTGAATCTTCGTTCCTTTTTTTTTTGGTGAAATTATTTTAATTTTAAATGCTTCCAAGTTCGTAATTTAAGTGGATAAAATTTGAAGTCCTATGTGTAAAGTAGTTTTTCACGTTCTTTTCCTTTTGTTTAATCAGTTAATTAACTGTACTACTAATGTGAAGCTATTGCAAAACCACGTTCTTTGGATTCTTAAATTCTATGAACTCTGGATGTTTTTGGTATCGCCATCTAACCCCTTATCTTGATATAGATTTCTGCTACTTTCATTTTTCAAACATGTGAGATTCTTTCGAATTCGCCTTTTTAATTTGTGAATGTTGACGTCATATTTGGCTTGTTCATTGATTGGAATTGTTCTTTTGCGATTACTATTGTCAAGGATGACCTAATTCTCTTGTATAGTGGAACATGGATGTTCATTGTGTCCGGGGTTTTCGTTTCTATGGATGTTCTTTTAGCTGGGTCTATGCCAATTATGGATGTTAATGACAATGTTTGTTTTATTGGTATTAAGCTTGATTTTTGGGTGTTATTATATTTTATTTTAAATTAAAATTGCATATCATTGATGGATTGCTCTCTAGGTAAGTAGGTATGTCATGGATTTAATCAAGGATAACCCTAAACCTTGAATAGCCCAAGCATCTCATTACTCTCTCCCTTTCTCTCTAAGGAGTACATGTATTTGTTTCTGATATTAGACTTGTCGTTCATGATAAGTGTACATGATTAAACTTTGGTTTAGATATAATTACCATTAGCTTTAAAAATTTCAGAAGCACAAGAAGTGATTGATCTGTTTTTACCATCTTGTGTTGGACTTAAGATTATTCATTGCTAGATTTTTCTAATTTTGCAATTTTAATTTGAGTTGTAGTTTGCAAATGGCAAAAGGTAGCAAGGGTCGGCGTAGAATTGCATCCCGGATGACCCCATACTTGTTGCACTCTCGTTGCCAAGGGATATCTAGAGATTCTCACCCAGAAATATGTTCCAAAGCTTTGGATAATAAAGATTGGGAAGGTGCAACATGTTCTGTTTGCATGGAGTGCCCTCACAATGCTGTTCTTCTTCTTTGTTCATCCCATGACAAGGGCTGCCGTCCCTACATGTGTGGAACTAGCTTCCGATACTCAAACTGCCTTGACCAGTACAAGAAGTTCCACACTAAAGAAGTCTCATCTCATTATGAAGAACCATTTCTTAGTTCTGTTGATGATTCAGTTCTGGCAGCCGGTTCCAGTTGGTCTGTTGAGAAGTTTGGAGTAACTGAACTATCATGTCCACTTTGCAGGGGTCAGGTGAAAGGATGGACTGTGGTGGAACCTGCTAGGGAATTTTTAAATTCCAAAAAGAGAAGCTGTATGCAGGAAGACTGCACCTTTGTTGGGTCTTTTAAGGAACTTAGGAAACACATGAAAGCAGATCATCCATGTGCTCAGCCACGCGAAGTGGATCCGACCCTCGAGCAAAAATGGAGAAGGCTTGAACGGGAGCAGGAGCAGGAGGATGTGATCAGCACAATAAGGGCAACAATGCCTGGAGCAATGGTATTCGGTGATTATGTAATAGAAAGAAATCATCATGGCTTTGAGACAAATGGAGAGGATGGTACCTATGCAGATGCTATGGAAAGGGATGAAGATCTTGAGGATGGCTTAGATGGTAATATTTTGAATCTCTTTCTTATGTTGCATGCATTTGGGTCATCAAGGAATGACCTTGGTAGACAAACAAGGCAACCTACACATGTAGTGGATGAGAATGCTGTTGGTGTTCGCGTCACCTCTCCTGTTGGGGGTCTGGGTTATTCCAATGAAGATGATGAGAATGATGGGAGCAATATGTCTTTGGTTAGCCGACTCCATCGACATGGCCGAGTTCTTTTAGGGCATTCAGGCAGGAGGAGGAGAAGGGAAAACATTTGGAGGCAGAATGTAGGATGAAAGGCGTAGCTAAAAGGGATGGGAAACATCAAAAGCTATGTATCGCCATAGATTTTGATTTTGCACTGATTTAATTCTCACAATTCATTTTAGGAGGGGTATATCACGGCTTGGAAAATGCCTGTTTTCCTTTTTGTTGCGTGTTATCATTTGGATGTACTGGTAATTGCTTTCCTTTTGTCGACATATGTTTATCCTCTAACCCCGTATGTATATATAGACTTAGTTTCACACGATGGGATGCAGGGAAACAATGAATATTTCAAAACTTTCAAATGCTACTGAACCCTCTGATCGTAATGTTTAGGGGCACTGAAGTGAGTCAAATGATTGGCACCATTCCATTCCTTTCAATTTCTTGTCGCATTTATTTTGTGATTGTTTCTTCACTGAAACCTTGAGTCAGGAATTTTTCGCTTTGACATGAGTTTTGCAAGAATTCAAAATAGTGTCTGATTCCGTGAGCAAAACGATGCCTCTGCAGAAGTATAATAGAAATTACTTGGCAATATATGAATTGGAAAGTTGCTGCTTTCAACTAAATTTGCTCCAACGTGTGCCAGGAAATTTGACTATTTACTAGTCTCTGAGTTGATTCAACCAGATATTAATTAACACCTTACAAGCAGCAAACAAAGGTTACATGTAAATATAAATTTTTCGACCTTTAAAGGTGAGTATTTGATTGAGTCAAATACAAAAATTTTGAGTTCATTGAATTTATGAGTACCGATTTATCATTAAATATTATTTAAATATCTTTTAATAGAGTTGAGTTCAATCAAATATATTTCTTCACGTTTTTATTAAAATATAAATATAATTATTTATAATATTTTGATAGTTATTGATTTTAATTTAAATGGTTCATATAAAACACATATTTTCCATCTTTTTTACATGTGTATGAATTCTAATGTTGTTTAATAAATAAAATATTGTTTAAAACTATATAATATATTTATAATGCTATTTTTTAAAAGAATATTTTGAGGATAATATAAATAGAAGTATAAAGAAGTTAATGAATTAATGAGAATAAAGGATTTACAAAGTCTTGTAATTAGAAGATTAAATTGAGTAAAATATAAAATTGAGGGATTAAACTACAAAAATGATATTTATAGTTAAAAAGATGAATTGAAGCTAAAAATATATTCTAAAGTAGTTACAGAACATGTGTTTCAAATTTGGTTAAAATAGATTTAGAAGCATGAGAAATTAAAGAAACAAAAACATTTGAGAGTAAAATGTTATAAATTTTTTTGAACCAAATTGAATGTTATTAAACGTTCAAAGATAACTTACAAGGGTCATTTTCAACCATCTATGAACGTGAAATTACCATTTTCTTAAACTACTCTAGGTATCATATGCAAAAACTGCATTCTTTTTCTTGTGTAAATTAGAAAATATAATGAAATAATCTGTACAATTACACAGTTACTGTATCTTACCAAGTTGGACGCATCCCTTGGATAGATCCCTTGGATACATCCAAGATTACCTGTTGTCTTAGAATTGGTATACTTTCCCAGGGAAGCATCTACACACAGTCCTCATATGGTCAGTTTGTTACAATAAAAGTTAAAAAAGGATGGTCTTTCAAAAGAAGAAAGGAACAAACAAACCAAAAAAAAATGTTGGCAAAAGCAAAAATGAGGTGTAAAAATTTCTATTAGAGGACAACCATCTCCTTGAAGCAAGATAAAATTCATGCTATATTCATATGCCCTGAGATGAAAATATAACACAAAAAAAGAACTAGAGCAATTGCACCAACCTGGACATCCAAGTCCAAAATCAAAATTATTGGTTCCCTAGAGATTGTGTCCTCCCAATGAAGCTCATTCACTGCTTCATGTATTAGTCGAGAAGCCAATGCAGACACATTATCAATGCCATTAGATCCGCAATTTTCTTCTGGGTGATGTTCAAGCATGCCAAAGTAGCATCCTTTTTGCAAACACTGCTTTGAAAGACAAGCTTCTTCAATATTACACTTAGCAGCTCCAAGAACAAGTTTGAGGTAACTCTCATTTATGTCCATTTTGCATTTAGATTTCAGATTCCGCACCAGCTTCTTATGCTCTGTGTTCAAGCTTTCACACTCCAAGCAGTCCCCGAGAAGCACGTGCCTCCATGGGCCCAGCCATGAATCTTCCAAATTACTGGAACACAGGCGATGCATATATATTTCATACATCAGTTCTCAATTCCAACATGAAATGGAGAAAATTACATATGAACTTTGAGTAGTTTACTATAAGTAACAAAAAGAAGAGGAGTTGAAGAACAATTGAATTAAGTCTTATGAGCACCAATGGAAATGGCCACTGGTGGTCCAGTCCCAATAACAATTGTGCCAAAAATGGTTAAACAAATACCTGACAAAAGAGATTCCCTACCTCAATAGCTTACCAAGTTGGTGATCAACCTTCTTTCTTATCATCCACCACAAAGACCTAGCACTTTTTGTATCTTCTAAAGGACAGCCAGAAGATGTCACGTAGTTCTCTTCCAATATCACTTTAAATGCTGGAGCTACATTATCAACCACAGTGGAACCCCAAGGGCAATGCCACTTTTTACCTGAATTCATCCGCTGAAAAAATTCCTGGCAAGCTCTTGCATTCTCATCATTAGGAGCAGCATCTTATGAAACATCTGTATATTTTTTCCAGATTCTTTTAGCACCAGGTAGTTATACGCATTAATATATTGTTAATTTTTAATTATAAAAATTTCTACCAAAAAATATACCTTTTAAAACTGAATCCAGAGGCAAAAGCAAAACAATAGGTTGATTCTTGGAATTCAGCCGTGACAACAGCATCCATGCATGAATTGAAGAAGGGTAAAGTAGCAATTCTTGCATTAAACTGGTATAAGCATGACCAAGCAAACTTATACAGATGATGGCGGTGGAAGGAAGGCCCATATAAAAGTTCATCACAAATTGTTCAAGATCATGAACTGACACAGGAGCAAGCCTGCAGCAGAACAAAAAGAAGAAAGAATAACATTTATTTTTCGTATGTACAAATTTAGCGTTGATGGGGTAAGGATAAACTAAGATAGTAAATCTTCATAAATTTTCACTTGTAGCAGCAACCTTAACAAGATGGATGCCTCAGTATGTGGGCAAGATGAACCAGTTGCATGCAAGTCCTGAAAATAAAAGTCCAACAACTCAATTAAAAAATTGAAATAGCTGGCGTTGTAATATATTAATCTGCAGAAGGAGATAAAAAATGCCAACAGCAATAATCAAGAAAAGTAAAAATGCACAAATACATAAATATTGCTTCTATCAGAATTAATATTGCTACTCTGATAAAAAGAGCAAATCAAAAAAAGTTGGCAAGACTCCACAAATTAGCACTTAGTCCCAAAGAAACAGAATTTGCCAGAGTGTAATTAATATTGCTACTATCGTAATTAAAGATGAAGGAGCACCCAAATTCAGAATGACTCTTGAGGGCAAGGAATTTCCACGTAAAATTAAGGAGTGTAACTGTCATGCAATTCAACTATACCATGTATGTCAAATACCTTGACGGTTGAAGACAATTTTTGGAAGCACTAACATTTCAGTTGAGAAAAGAATTCACTGAAGATAGTATAGCTATAGGCCTATGGCAAATAACTTGTCATGATATTTTATCATCTTGAAAATGACGCCAAGGAAAGACAATATGAAGTGTGCAAGCTTACCCCAGAATCTAGAAAGTGTTGAGCAATATATCTCCCAGAAGTATTAGGAAAGAATTGATTGTTAAGATGTGTTCCAAGTGAAGCTTGATGAAAAATATGAAGCCCAATGACTTTCAGAAAGTGCTTTGCAAGATGGCAAAGTAAAATGCTCATTAGTGGCAGAAAGCAGATATACTACAGAAAGCAATCTGGAGACCTGAGTGTTAATAAATAAAAAATTAGCTGCCAGGACATTAGAGAAAAAGAAATAGAGAGAATTGAAAGGTAAAGCAGTTAAGAGGACAAATTTATTGGGAGCAACTTGCAAATATAATAAATGGAAATTATAAGGAAACTTCCTGACAAAACATTAAGTATCTTGAGATAAACATCACAAGTGGTAATCAATCAAATTTATCTTAATTGAATAATATTTTCCTTCATTATAGCCATGTAGTCCAGTAGGTGTTAGGAAATCTGTCAATCAACAGTTCTAAAGAGAAACTTCATTATTGACTTAAGTGAACATAACTTACATTTCATTTGAATTTGGATGAAGAAGACCTTTAGAAGAAGCAACCAGTCTCAAGTAGTTTAATGTGTCAGTCAGTTATTTGGTCACATGTTATCATAGATCAGAAAATTAGGAAAAGTAATTTAATTAGGTGACAAGAAGACAACAAATTTCAAACAGGCTTGGCACTACTCCTAAATTAACAGTCAAAATAGTGAACATGCTATCCTCAAGCGTACCATACTTGATAAAAATCAACTAAACACAGAAAAAAATATTTAGTCTCAAACAGAAGGCCAGTTACTTTGTGCTGATATACCACAATCAGGTTTTACATCAAGCCACAACTGAGAAGTTAAAATAAGACTATACCTAAGATTATATTAATCTTATGCAAGCATGAGGAACAGATCAGAATAATAAAATAAATTCAACCTTTTTGAAAAGTACAGGAACCTCACAGCTGAGTACAAATGCTAGCTTCAGCCAGTGTACTATTTTTTATAACTGAACTTTGGAAAGATCACAGCATACAATCCTGTTCAGAACACAAACCATGAAAAGAGGCAAAGGAACAAGTACTTAATACAAAAGGCATAATTCATAAACTTGATAGTAGTAATTTACCATTTTACCAGAGTCCTCATTTATTTAGATACATATAAATTTGAAAACATATATAAATGTACACGCAGAATGATTAAAATACGTATCCTGCAACATAACAGAGGACAACTATTAGTTGAACCTGTATACAGGTGACAGACATACAAGCACACATACCTGGTACCTTTGGAATGGAAACTCTTCACAGTCATCCAACCTATACTGTATAGGATTGCTGCACGTTCAGTGGCAAAAGTATCTCCAATGATTTCCCTTCCAATCAAATCAAGCAAGAAAGATCCACGAGCAGGGGAACAAGTCTGAGTAAATGCATTTCTGCTGACTAGGACAGATATGCTTTGC